AAGATAAGCCTGACGCGCGTCTGTGAGTCTCCTAGCTTGGGAAGCGAAGCAGCCATGAGGGTCTGGCTGAGGTGCCCAGTGTCACATATTGGGTTCGTTTCCTCTAAGATTGCCATGAAAGCAAGCAGCTTGTCCTGCGACAGTCATGAGCCATCCTCGTTTCACGCCTCTGGCCAACAGACAGGATCACACTTGTGTTTGTTTATGTTGGGGGCGCCTTGTTTGGATTGGCGTTAAGCCGAAACCAACAAGGAACGCCACCTTTTTGCGAGTACCCACTCCCCTTGGACCCCCAACAATTGCTGCGGCATTCCTGTTGGTTTCTCTTGAAACTCCTCAAAAAGGGGATTCCAAAGACGAGCCGCCCACTCCCCATTTGTTCAGATGGAACCCAGGATTCCAAAAGGAGATTCCTCCAACAATGAGGTTTAGTGAAGTTCCATCAGTAGTTTTCAACATTGATGTTTCTGAAACCAAGGGACACCCCCATATATATATATATTACTCAGATAATAAATATAGGTTGATCAATTCCTGGCCTTGAAATGACCATGCGTAATTTGCCATTGTGTGGGAAATGTCATCTTAGTGGCTTTCCCAATGGTCATCCCATGAAAAGCAAGCATTTTAATCAGCCCCCCAAAATAGAGGTCTATTCATCCGTTGAGATTAGCCCCTTTGGTTTCCAATGCCTCGTCCAATGCTACAGCGTGGCGTCGCTTCTCCGCGTCGGCTCCGAGGCCTGGTCACTTCGGCGTCAGCAGCAGAAGCAATGGGAGCCTTCGCCGTGGATCGTGGTTGGTACCGGGAAACCGACTCGCAGGGCAAATCCAATCGAAGACAAACCACTAGACCACTGCTTGTTGGATGCGGGGGGGATTTTGGACATGGTTGAAGAAGCGGTTGTTGTTGGGACCCGGCAACAGGGGTTTCCAATTGATCTCCCTGCAAAGCTACAAGGGTTCTTTGAATGAGAAGAATCCTGAAAGAGGCCGGTTGCCATTTGATCTTTCTTTAACCCGCTCGAAGTGAGTGCCGCACCCTGCGCACTCGCACACTGTCACCAAGGGCGCACTTCCTAGAGTGCCTCACCCTCATGGTGCCCTGTCAAAGCCAATTTTAACCTGCAGGTTTACTTTTTAACCCTAGGCAGCATTCAAGGGGTGCGTGTTCTGTTGGACTCATGTTCCATCCCAGTGCAAATGGCAAGGAGAAGACCATGCAAGGCCTCTACGAATGCGTGGAGGCTGGCCTTTGTGTCGAAAACCGTGCTCACGTTCCGGGGACAGGTGGAAGACCCACATTTCATCGGAGGACGTAGGTAGTCAGGGAGGATCCCCACCCCCTGAAAATGCAATTGGGGGAGCGGGGTGACCCTTGGAATTCCATTTATGGTTCCATGTTCCCTTTTCTGGGGTAGGGGGGGTCAGGGAGGCATTTGCCTTGCGACATCCAAATAAACTCCGGCAATGCGACTTTCTGGACAGGGCACAACAAAGGATTGGATCCGTGCAGCTGCGTCTAGCTGATCTGGTTTGGTTCTGCAATTGGCTCTAGCAATGTGATGAGCAACTTGAAAAGCAATAACAACAAAAACATACAAAAACCCTCAAGAGGTGAAAGCAGACATCTTTTTGGCAGTTCATGATAGCTTGCCCGCGACCCCCAACAGACAGCTGATTGCGATTGGGCAAATGAGAGGTCGCAATGCTGATTGGGTCGTTCAAAGAAGTTTACAAGCAGAAGACCGAGTAGACCAGTAGGCCACAGGCCTGTCAGCCATACAAAGTGGTTTCTTGGTGACTCCCGCTGCTGGCCACTGTTTTGTGCAGGCGCTTGACAGGATCATAATCACTCCCCTGATGTTGTTTGCCCCAGAGAAAGATTAGGGTATTCCGTGTTGCCATTTTGCTTGGAGGGGACTTCCCTTAAAACCATTCTTCAAGATGGTACCGAATTTTGGTGTTTTTGACTTTTCTTTTAAGGAACACCAAAAGGAAAGCCGTTGCGGACACCATTTTGGGGGCTCCTGTGACCAAACGGGTGGCCCTTTGGCCGTCTCCAGGACGGCCTGGCGTCAGGCGGGACCTCGCGACCTTTTTTTGGGCGAGACCATTGTAGTGTATTCGAGTCATGGTTGATGTTGGTAAACATGTTTCCCATTTTTGCTTATTTTGACTTAGTGGTTGAAATCCCCACTTAATGAACTGCTAAAATTAAACCCCTTCGAACGTCAACCAAGGATTGGCCAAGAACATGCTTGTGCTTTTTTGGCTAATTCATCCAGGTGAGTCATAGCTGCACTGGGTTTCTAAAACGTAGAAGTTTGCCCGTTCAAAAAAACCCTTTCCACTAGATCAAACAAAGCCCAACAATTGGAGGGCCCAATGTTCCGGCGGATGATGTAAGTGCTTCTGTTGGGCGGTTCCTTTTTGAAATTTACTCCAGGCTTCACAATTCGAGATCAGCTGTTTGAAGATCCACCAAATTGGCGTGATGGGTTTTGGCGCGGATGCTTTGGGCGGCTCCCGGCTATACTCTTAAACTTTTTGACTGGAGTTTAGAAGGGTGTATTACAAGCCAGGGATCGACGAACCACGAATTGTTGCTGAGATGACTTTCTGCGTGGAGAGCGAGGGCTGTTTTTGTCGGCTTTTAGAGCTCGGAAGAGCTGAAGGCTGGCAAACGGCTCATTTCTCCAGGACCCACGTTTCGGAGCCTTACAACAGGGGGGTCCTAGTTTGGATCACTTTCCTCTTGGGACCGAGTTGCTGGGTTCAAAGGCAACATGGACAGGAGGGTATAGGGACACTCCCGGGTTTGAACCACAGTGCTTATTGGGGGATTCGAGTTCTTTCGCAATAGGCAAATCTCGGAAGGCCATTGCATCGACCTCCCATCAGCCACCTCATCTTTGCTGGTGCAAGTCTTTTTGACGTTCACGCTGGGAAGCAAAGCCGCTTGTCCATCTCACCCCGTGTAGCAACTTTGTTGCTATCTTTGATGTCATGGATAGTCCACTGATGAGGAAAATATGAATCTAGGACTCTAGGAGAAACTGTCAAATTCGTTCCAGGGGTTCTTCTTTTCAGACAAAGCACTTAGGGGCAACGGCTGTGTCTTGAACATAGCAATGCTTGAAAGGATGTTCGAATCAACCCACGGGCAACAACCACTCATTTCCATTGCGGTGTTTTTGTTGTTTGGCAGTGGCAGCCAACTTCAGGCAGCCAAGAAACCACCCAACGGATGAAGCTCTCCACCACTTCGGATCCTTTTTGGTACCCTTTCCCAGCTGGGGCCTCGGCTGATATTTGTTCTCCGTGCAAAGTTCCTTGGCTTGCCAACATGATTCGAGGCGTCAAAAGTTGTGGGCAAGAATCTCAATGGCGAAATGCGCTTGCATGTTTCTGAGCCTGACAACAGCGCATCAGTCTCGACTGATTTGTTTCATCTTGATAGGGCGACAGTGATCAATCCCGTACGTAAGTCCTAGACAATAGTTATAGTTATAAGGATTCTAGAGGGAGCCACATGCATCTTCCGTTGGATGGCATTTGGGTGTATGTTGAATCGTCTTTTCTTGCTTGGGCAACGCGCCACTCCACTTTCCCACTGAAATCTGTGCGTGACTCTCACCTGGGAGGCAGTGCTGAGAGGAGGGACAAGGCGGTGGGCGAATCTCGATTCGGGCGGATGGCCCCAAACCAGTTGATCAATTTGCTGGTGGCGTCCATACGATCGCCGTTTTTGGAGGTTCCAAAGAGGGACGTGGAGGAAACCCCGTATTGCGGTATTGCCTTCGCTTGCCTTCCATTGCCTTGACAATGAGATCAATGTGGGTGGAAGAGGTTGGGACATGGTACTGTGTGCCTGGAGGAGGAATACGATCTAATCACAGGCTTGCAGTTGTTCTCATTCTCTTGCGGATGACGAAGCAATGGATATCGTTCATGCTGCATCTGCAGCGAGCCAGCCAGACCTTGCGAACAAGTCCGCAACGCCAACCAGCATTTCTGAGTTGATGCAGCATGGCCTTTGACAAACCTCTGGTAACCTAGTAGCTTCGCAGCTGGAGGTTCAGACCTCTCAAGTCATTCCGGGCTCCAACGTTTGACTTTGCCTTCCTCCCTCGACCGCTCACGGCAGGGTTGCCGTTCTGTGCATCGAAACGGTAAATTCCAGCTATCCTCGAAGGTTAATCAGACACTTGTTTACGTACGCACTTCGAGAATGTATAAATCATCTTCATCATCCTCATCATCATCATCATCATTATCATCATCCTCATCATCATCATCATCATCCTCATCCTCATCATCATCATCATCATCATCATCATCATCATCATCATCATCATCATCATCATCATCATCATCATCATCATCAATTGCGAATCAATCGCCTACTGCAAAGGTCCTTGAGACTCCCTGTCTTGGATGAACCAGCACAACTTGCTCCCCCCCCCCCGGCTCATGAAAGGTGTAGGTGTGGAAGGGAAACGCCACCCTTGGAAGGCGATCCAATGACTTTGCTTGGGTATTTAGAAGGTACTCGCAGCTTTCAATCCAAGTTTGCTTTGGTGAGAGGCTTTCCTTGGTAATTATTGGGCATGTGAGGCTCCAGGCACCTGAGAAGGGGTGGAGCTTTGAATTGATTTCTGGGTTCATGACTTTGTGACAGGTCGTTGAACTTTGTATTTTGGTAGCACTGTCCATCCTTGCTGGGTCAATTAAAGTGAACATGTTGAGTGTTCTCAAAAATACCTTTGGGGGTGCTTCTCTGTAAACCGCGATTGGGGTAGTTTTGAGGATGTCACTTTGGACCCAGTCCGCACTTGGATCCGCTTGCTGCTTGCTAGGCAGTTGGCTTGCATTTGGCTCAAGCTGGTACAGACAATCAATGGTTCCCATGCCAGTGTTTCATGGCCCAGACCAATTGATGCGGGTTAACTCACCCGGCGCAAAAAAGCCATTGACTCGCCAAGCACACTTTCTTAGCTGCAAATTAATTATTGCTTGCGCTAATGACGTTCCGCGCTCGCTGAGAAGCTTTACTTGGCAAGATGCCGCTTGGCTCTGGGGATGGGTCGCGTTGCAACCGTGGTCCCACGATCTAACGCTTTGGCATCATTTTCCTGGTATCGCTTTGATTCGACATTTCGGCCATGGGAAGTGGACAGGTACATGCAGACCTGGCCGGATTCAACCTGTATCCCAGAACAATTTGGCAGGGACATCGGGGCACTCTCCAAGTTTCTCAACAGCCAGGGGACTCTCCAATCTGCCAATGTCCATAGAAGCTTCGCGGAAGTTCGAAGCACGCTTTTGGATGGTTCAGGCCGTTGTAGGGGATACGCAACCACAAGCCACTCACATGGTTGTTGTTGGGAAACATTTTACTTTTTTGCTTAGTGTGGTGTAGTGGGAAATCCTCACTTAACTGCTTTTTGTTTGCTCCCCTTCGAACGTCAACCAAGTTAAAGGGAAGATACTCCGCCATTTTTCGGGAGGTAATTAATTTGGGGCCAGTGGAATCCACCCTAGCCGTGCCTTCCATTTCCATTCTGTTCAGGGATCCTTCTCGCAAACCATGGGCCAAGTTCCGAAAACGGGTGATTTCCAAAGAGAATGGGTGAAGAGAAGCGGGACTCAAGCCTTAGAATTTAGGCTGGTTCTCATTTCCGCAATCGAGAATCGGGAGATCTTCCCTAGATCTTTGGCCTTTTGGAGGGGGTTGCTTATTTTTTTTGGGCTCAATACATCGCCCAGGGTTTGCCAAACCGCCACTTCCCGGGACCCTCCAGTGGGGGGCGCCCATCGCGACCGATCTCCCTGAGGCCCGGAGCTTGGTTCGCTCTGGCTCTTAAGTCTTGAGCCACACCCATTTCATGGCTCATACCTCTTTTTTTTTCTGCGGAAAAAGGCACCAAGGAAAACACATGTCTCATGAGGTGGGCTTCACCAGTAGCCTCCCCGGCTCGGTCGATCGCCGAGGTCCGTGGCGAAGACCATGTCGCGGGCGCGGTCCTGGCTCTCCAACAAGAGCGAAGCGGGCGCCGCCGTCTCCGCCAAAGCCACGGACATGTCGATGGAGTTTGCCATGCAGGAGCTCGGGCTTCGCACCACGAACCCCCCCCACAACCCCGGGCCCCGGAAAAATCGTGATTGAATAGAAATGGTGGGGTGTCTTTCTTTTGTTTTTAGTTGGGGTCCCTCCAAAATGGCTTCGGGATTCCTGTTGGTTTCCATTTCATCCAACAAAGGGTAGCCTCAAAAACAGAACCAAAGTGGGGAACCGCCGAAATGGCTTCCGTTTGTCCGTTTGAAGCAAGCCCAACTGGGGCACCCCGGCGAAACCAGAAGAGATTCTGGCCGACAGAAGGCAAACAAGGCAGCCCATTTCTTCCCGCAGCCCCCGCAACGTGCCACTTTCGGGTTTTGGGTTTGCAGACATGGGTGTAAGAACTGGGGGCCAAGACTGCGGAACATGTGGTATGAGGGCCCAGCGAATCTTCTTCAAATTATCCACAAGGATGGACCATTGTATCACAGAAAGGGTCTCTTATTTCCTACAACCATGCCAATCAGTATGTTTCTTCCTTGGTACCTGGTTCCAGGGCTTGGTTTCAAGGTACCTAGAGTCTCCATGACCCGAAACAAAATAGGTCCATGACCCTGGGTTGCACTCTGAGACATTTTTTATTTTTGCGGATTTTGCTTCACCCTTTTTGGCACTCAGCGCTGTTTGGCTGCGCCTCCGGAGGGACACAGAGGCCCACATGCACAACGCATAACGAATAAAGGAGCCAATCAAAGCAGATGATAGGCCCCAACTTTCTCAAATACTAGACAAGAATCTTTGAGAAAACTAATCTGCTCTCTTGGTGGCATGTTTGAGGGGAGGGGAGATAGCCGTTGCAGTATTGTGTGTTCCCATGAAGCGACATCAGTTTGTAGTGACCTTTGTCTAATGCTCAGCGCTCCCGTTGCAAAAGCAGGGCAAGGGCATAGAAATGTGGGTATCGCATTCTTGTCAACGGACGCCTTTCCCCCTAGCAACGTAGAACACTGAGAAGCGCGTTGAACAAATCGACGCGTTTTTTTGCCCAAAAGGGCAGACACGTTTGAGCTCCGCGCGCGGATCTGGCTCTGGCTCAGTGCGCCGCAGCACCACCGTGGGCGGTCCCTGTGGCAGCTTGCGCTGCGGGTGGCTTGCAACATAGACTCCCTTTCTCCATAGGTCCACAAGTTGTTTGTCGAGTTTGCTGCCCAAAAACCCAGCTCACTGCGCGCCTTGTCGGAGCTGCAAGACTGGTGTCGGCCTGATGAGGGCTGGGCCACTGTGACGTACGACGTCCCTTGGCAGCATTGCGTCATTCGCATCGCAAGGGGCTGCATTCTTGTTTGTGGAGACGTTTGTCAGGTACGCGCCCCGGTGGCCGTGGAGGCGAGCGACACCTGGCAGCCTGCCGTGGACCCTCGCACTCAGGATTCAGGAGGTGCTCGGGAAGAAGCAGCTGCATGCCATGATCGTCATGCTTCAGAAAGCGGCTGCTTGGCGAAGGGACATTTGATTCTCGCTGGGCCAAACTTTTTGAAGGGCCGCTGTTTGGGGGGCCTCAAGATACACACGCACATGGCACACACCTACACGCGACTTGGGGCAACAAAATGGCTAGCTCGTCTTCGCTGGTTACGCAAATGAGACGCGCCGCCGCAGAAGAAGACGCGTGGCATCGGCCTCTTTCGGAACGTAGGGCGCAGTCACTAGCGCGCGGCCATACAATTGCGCCTGCTTTCCGAAAGGTTTCAGCTGCTCCAAAGCGCTTCTGTTCAGGGCGGACGCGTGCGGCAATAAGCTTCGTTCTTGACGCGTGGGGCAGCTCCTTTTTTTCTTTCTTTGCGCGGTTCATACGCAGGGCCTCCACTGGGCTTGGGCTGTTGGAGCTGGTTGTTTCAGGGTCTTTCGGAAGCAACGCTTGAGCGCCACGCCCCGCCGCTCCCGGGTAAGATCTGGTTGGACTTTCTAGTCCAGGCCTCGAAGTGCGGAGACCAAGGTGTTTTCGTCATCGCGCGTTAGGGAAGCTGTGCTAGAAGCAGTGGGATGAAGCACGTGCCAGCACGGCGCACTCACGTTGCGCTAAGCGCTGCCCTACACAGCAATCTCTAGGAGCACCTCACATCATAGGCTTGGGCCGGGGTTTTCTATCTCACAAGCAGACGTCGCAGAAAAGAGCGCTGTGCGTTTGCTTCGTTGCACCGACAAGCGCGCCCCTGCGCTGCAAAACAGGAGCAAACCCTACAGCCCAGAAGATCCCCAGAGTTGGTCTCTAACAACAAACCACTTCTGCGGCCCCCCCGAGACCCGGCAGCAAAAATCAGCGCCACCCGTGTCCAACAAGTCTAGTCTAGCGCGAGGAACGCACTTGGGATGAACATCTACACAATGGCAGCAGCGGGCACCTTTTTTTGAGACGCAGCCTGTGCAAGCCAACTCTACAGACATGACAATGGCGCAGCTTAAAGGGATGGTTTCCAAAAGTTGGCTATCCCCTCGCAGCTTGGATGGATGCGCTATATATAAGCCCCCGTCAACAATAACGTTTACGCATTACCCAGCTAAGCTTGTCAGTCAGTAGCACGCCGGCAAGCTTCGATAGACCTGCCCCAAGAAAGAAACCTTGCGAGCAAAATGCCTTGCGGTAATACTTCACTTTGAAGCACTTAGCACACTTGGATGCCCTTACTTAGACATCCACTACTCACTAACATGTATTGTGGACATGTCTGAGCCTGGGGGATGCTCATAATTCGCTTGGTGTCAGCTGACGGAGCTTTTCGGAACCCGTAGGCTCATAGGTCAAAGAAGCTGGGCCACGGCCGCTTTACCTCCTTTTTGTAGCTGCCGAGACGCTGAGTGGTCTGGGAGCAGACATCGGTAAGGCAAAGGCTGTGTTGCTAACGGGGGCGCGCAAGTGTCTTGACAGTTCGGAGTCGGCTTGCTGTCCAGGACTAAGTTTTGTTTGCGGAGTGGCCCTGGTGCGACGCAGTTGTGTTGACTGAGAGTCAAGGCTTCTGCGCATCGAAGCTCTTGCTTGTCATTGCAAGTTTCTGCATTCGTGTTGCTTTTGCCCCGGGCCAACGAAAGATCAGCGCAGCATGGCGCACACATGGGGCCACGCGTATGCCGACGCGGCTGTCCATGCGTCGGAGGCATGGCTCTTGCAGCAAGGGCAAAGACTTTGCGCAGGAGCTTAAGGCCTGCCTCACAGACAGCCGTCGCGGGGCCTATGGCACGGATGCCTGCCGTTTGCTACGGATTGCTCGGGCATGGATACCGCTGTCTGGGCGTTGGAGGCGATGTCAGTCAGCTTCATTCAACACAGGGGGTCTGATATTGGCTGCGGAATCAGTTCCAGTTGTTTGTTTTCGGTTGTTTGTCGGACTGACACTGGTACTGAAAGTAAAGAGCAGAGAAGCAAAGAAGCACCAGCGACTGATGGACTCCATGGCGTCGCCAATTCGGGCTTTGGTTGCACAATGTGGCGAGGGCTTGTGATGCCTGTTTTGTCTTGTGACACAGCACGCGATGCATCTAAGGACGCATGGCGCGCCTTGATGGCAATGTTTGCCGCCGTGACCTAGATGCTCTGCCTCAGCTTTAGCGCGGCGGCTATGCAGCCGGCTTCCCATGTCAGTCGTTTTCGCCCGCTGAGTCTTGCCTGAGACGCAGCTGGTGAAATTCACAGGCGGGTCCCTTTCTGATTTTTGCCTTTGTTGACGCACGAACTTTCCCATGTATCCGCTATAAACTGCGTTGATGTTGGTGTGTTTCCACTGCTCATACCATTGTTGAACCATCATTTCGCAGCTTAGCGCCAGGTCTGCTAGGCTTTTTCAGGAAACCAGCAGCCCAAGGCCAGCGGAGGGCTTTCCTTCGGCTGAGCTTTTCTTCAGTGAGTTTGGGTCAGGTGTCGGCTCATCGAGCAACAGCTATCGCTGCCGTGCTTGAGCCATTAGGAGTTCGTTTTTTTGTCGAAGGTGGCACGTGTTTGGGAGTCATGTTTTTCAACTGCAAGCACACGTTTGTGCACGAACGCATGGCTGGCTGCCCGCAGGTTCACACTTTCATTTTTGCTTATCACTGGTAGCGTTGGATCTATAGAGCGCGGGCGACGTGCACGGGTGGTGTCAGCAATGCACACGAGGTCAGAATAGGTGTGGCCCTAGCCATGTGTATTCCAAAGTATGCCGTGTTGGACACAATCGACGCAAAGCTGCCACAGTGGGCCGTTCTCGAGAACGTGGTGGGATGTGTGTCCTGGGTCAACGAAATCAAAGGGCTGATGAAAGAGAAGTTGCGAGGGCAGTACCACCTTGTAGTCGCATGTTGCATTTGTTCATGCCATTTTGTTGGACAGGGTACGACGACACCAACTGTAACTGGAAAAAACGCAAGCTTCCAATCTATGTTGGAGAGCTCGCATTTTCTGTGCTTGGCAAGGCCGCGCGGTTTTGGGGCCTTTGCTCCTGAGGTGCAGTTCTGTTCTTCAGATTTTCTTGAGCCTGTTCGACGTCCACGCGCTTGGTTTCTTTTACTTGCTGCGGGGTGCGCTGTGGCGGAGGACGCAGAAGGCATGGCGGGGATGGCATCTGCAATCTTCTCTAGCGTGCTCGCTGCAGCAGCACATTCATGACTGCGTGCAAGACAGCCAGTTCGGGCGGACGCCCAACGCACGAGAGAAAGAAGTCTTGAAGGCGCAGGCAGGCCTTGTAGCTGCCCATCTGAAAAAGAAGACTCTCACAGTGGATGTTTCGCAAAGCAAGGAGTGGGCAAGGTCTGGCGTCGATTTCCAACGTGGGCTAGGTCGAGCCGCATGTGCATGGTGAGGCCTGAGCGTTGACCAGGCAAAGGTCTAGTGCTTGGCTGCGTCTTTAGGCTTGATGTACCGGGATGGCCTGCTGCCAGTCGCACGCAGCTTTGCCAGCCTGAGGTTCTGCACGCCTTTCCGCCAACCCTGCAACTGCCGACTTCTTGCAGAGAGTCGACGCTTCGTCGCCTTGTTGGCAACACGCAGCACGTCAAGTGTGCGGCGGTGGCTCTGT